CAAGCGTCTCAGATACATTGCGTAGAGGCAGTAACCACGGAGCGGCATATACGGAGTTTGGAAATCTTTCCACTCTGGGACTTACTTTCAAAAATGTTCGTTTACACCCCCCCAAAACGCCGGCCTCGTATGGACGATACACTGGATTGATAAAGTATTTTTGCGTTTAGGCCTGAGCTTGACTTTGTGTGGACAGGGCCTTAACGTGTGTCGTGTGCTCTTCTTTCCTACTGTTCTATAACTTAATCTAATCTTAATCTTAATTTTAGTGGAAAAAATGCCACTATCTAGTTCCGTTCTGCATTTATTTTTGTATTTGTTTAGCAGGTTATGGTTCAGTCTTTTCTCAGACCTTAGTGATCCAGTGTTTGTTTAAAACGTGCTCTGTTTATATGTTTTCCCCCCAAATAAAATCTTGTGTTTCTTCAATTCAATATATTTCTGAATAGCCCTAAATCAAAACAGTAATCGTCTTGGAGGACTTTACCGAGTAAATGTAAGTAAGTAAATGCAGTAATAATAATGTCCTTAAAAAAAAACAACAAAAAAAACTGTCAAATCTGGTAATTGGTAACGTCGTAACGCCGGGTAACTGTCAAAATCGTTGTTTGGAGCTAATTTCTTTGTTTTAGATAACTTTTATTGTAAGTGATTTGAAATTGATTTCTCCAAACTTCACCTGTTGAGAAGAACCTTTGCGACTGTAGCATCAGTGCTTTCAGCGCACACCATTATTGTGTGAAAGAATCTCCCAAAAACACTCGTTTGGCGAGAAGGTACAATCTTAGGTAACAATCTTACGTCACAATTCACCAGAATGATTAACAATCAAGAAGACCAATAGCCATGATGATTCCATAAAAGAAATCCTGCTATATACCTTTCATTTATTTTTTATGAATTATATATATATTTTTTATTTAAATTTAAATTATGATTAGCTTGTGAAACATACAGAACATAATTTTCAAAATCTAAATGCAAAAAATAGTTGGTAATAACAGTTACTATGGTATAGCTATAAAAGTTAGAAAAGTTACTATATCCAGACATTAGCATGATTATAATGATATGACTTTTACTGAGAACATCTTATTCCTTATTTGGTCTGTTTCCAACACTCTTATACTCGTATCAGACAGATCCACGACAGGTCAGTCCTCCGTACACAGCCCATACTCTAACATGCTGGACTCATTAGGCTGAATATAAAATATAAAAAAAATATAAAGCTTTTGAGAGGTTCCTGATGTTCTGAGCAGAGAAAAAAATGGACTTGCTGACCATTTCCGACATGCCTTTTATAAAAGCCATGTTCTGGTGCGAGTGGACGTGTGGTCGAAGAGCAATGAGCCTCCGGTGGGAAGTCGGAAAAGGAAAAGGAAAAAGTGAAAAAAAAAAGATTATAAACTGGAAAGTGATTTATGTGACTGACTCCAAAGCAATCGAAAATGTCTTGTGTTCATACCTTACATGGACTTTGCTACAAAAGAATGATGCAATGCCCCCACACTGAGCGAAACATGAAAGCCAAAAGCCTTTTCCCCATTTTTTCAGCAAGCCTCAAGCAAACACCAGAGAAATCACTGCTCGCATTGACACATTGGTATGAATCCCTCTGCTACATCATAAATCTAGATGTTTTTTGCCTTGTTTGAGCACAAAAGTTGGTAAATCAATGGACACAATAGTCATTTTTTTTCTTTTTCTTTTTCTTTCAGAGTGCGCCAGAGCTTTTCAAGAGTATGACAAGATGACAAGGTATTTTTCAAAGTAAGGGCCGCGTTCTAGGAGGAAGATAGAGAGATTACGGGTGAGGGAGGGTGAAGTGGCAGAGCACATCCTGAATTTGTTTTGCTCTCGTGGCCAATAACTTGTGTTAGCGGATAGAATTTTAAGACATAGCATGTCACTAATTTAAGGTATGTTCAAGTCAATCTAACAACATTTAAACTGAGAATTACTAGACTGATATAATTGTAATCTTAAGTAGGCCTGTCACGATAAAAAACATTGCTGGACAATTAATTGTCTCCGCAATTTTTGCGATAAGCGATAATATTGTCGTTCTGAGATCATTTTCATCTAATACAATGATAATGATGCAGGTACACCTTTTTAAAGAGAAATAAACTTTTATTTTTAAAGACCACTGCCGGAAGTAGCGGGCGGACTATGATGCTATTGGAGTTAAGCTAGCGGCTTCTTATGTAAAGTTCTTCTCCAATAATGCAGCTTTGCAGCGTCTCTGTGTCAAGAGACCTTCCAGAGACTTTATATAACAGCAGTATGTGTTCACGGAGGTGCGCCATATGTTTATTTTATTATTAAACAGTACTTCCGCATCGATGAACATGCTAGCTGCACTAGTTTAGTCACTACTAGAGCCTGAATGAGAACTCAGACTGGCATATGTTCACAAGTACTGTGTCCCCCATTGTTAATCCTGGTTAAGTCCTGGTTTAGGTCCTGTTTTGGCTGTATTTTGTATTTTTTAGTTATTTCAGTCTGCTCTCTAGACCGCTAATGTTTCTGCGACCACTTTGTGGCTCTCTGACCCGAGAGAGGGAGCGAGAGAGACAGGGAAAACAAACAAGCATGCAAATGGAATTTATCGTGGCCAGAAAAATTATTGAGCTAATTTTAATTATAATGTGATTAAATGATTTATTGAATATCGCGACAGGCGTAATCTTAAGTATATCAAATATATCTTTTTTTTTTTTTACTAGTTATACACACTGGGATTTACAAACAAAAATATATATTAAACACTTCAGCTCTCTTCAAGCCAAAGGCCTTCATTTGGTTTTAACAATCATCAAATTGAAAGTCATGCGTGTCAAGATATCATCGACAGGCTTTGAATGACCCCTGAGAAAGTGAAAAGTAGTGATAAAACCAAACTACTTTGAGAACAAGAAACTAGTTCAATAGAGTTTAAGATAAGATAAACTTTATTGAGCTATTTATTGAGATTTTACATTTTATTCCATAGTTAATGTTGTTTTGGTACAAAGAAACACCAGCTTAAAATACATCATATTCAAGGAGTGGCTCAAAATGATCATTGCCAACACATGACCCCAAGGGCGTAGGTTTGCGTGGGGACCATGGGGACATGTCCCCACCAATATTTGGTGAGGACTAAAAAGTCCCCACCAAAATGACATGATGTCCCGTGACCCGGACGGTCCGGGACACATGTCTTCTGTTTGTGCATACGTCGCGCCTCCTCCTCGCCTCCAGAGCAACAGCAGCAGCAGCAGCACGTGACCCGTTCCGTTCTCTGCAGTGATTGGCTGTCTTCTTCAGCGCCAAACTGAAGCACTGAGCAACTGTTTAATTTTTAAAAGTTAGCCAGCGTGAAGCAAGTGTTTTTTTTTTGTTCCCTGAGCGTTGTAGCACGTGAGTAATCAGAGGAAAGCACTGTAGATCTATTACCATTCAAAGTACTTACGTTATTTCTAATCTGTCAGCGCACTGTTTAATGTTCCGAGGAGCTCACACGGCACAGAGACAGAACAGAACTGGCTCCAATAAAGAAACAGGTTGGTTGAAAGGCTGAAAAAATACTTATTGTGCTCTTACTATCCAAAATGTATAAGTGGGTGTGTTGTGTGAATCAGGATAAACTAGGGATGAAAATATTCCACGGATCCACGATTTACAACCTTTATCTGCTGATAATGTAATTTCTGTGAAATGTGTGACAGCACGTCCTGGTGCAGCTGCTGCCGCTTTGTAATGACAGCCGCGGCGCTCAGTGAAAGCACAGCTCTAACATGGTACCGAGCTCGGACCATATGCAGACAGAACCATGTTGCAAGTGCGGGTCTCCCTCGTATCTCCCCCGTTTCTCCCCTGTGTCTCTGACATGTCTCTCCCCTGACTCTTCCCAAAGCGCAACCAGCGCTCCCGAAATTAAAGCTCGGATACCTACATTTTCCATTGCGTTAACGATGCATGCTGGTTGTGCGCAAAACACCACAACAGGTCATTTAAGTTTTTATTTTGCATACTTAAGAGCCCTGTGAGTCATTACTTGCCTTTTTGGGTTGTGAGTGGAATAAATAAAAAAGAAAATATAGAAAAATCCACACTGTTACTTATTGCCAAACTCTTGTTAACTCATTGTATTGAGAAATACTATGTAACTTTTGACATTGGCCAAGTTATATAAATGATTCTGCAGTTCATGTATATGAATCTCTGTTTTTGATTGTCTATACCTTCTTATATAATTTAGAAAAAATGCCACCTCCACAAAAAAAGATAAAAGATATCAGGAGCTTTTTTAACAGTTGGAAAGTAAGTAAGAGAAAGCACAAGTAATAGCAAATTATGAATTGTGATGATTAATCTTCTGTTAACATACATAGGAAACTCAACCAACAAAAGAGAACAATATAGGGAATGTTGAGGTAGAAGCAACAGGCCCTTCAGTGCATCAGGCGAGGTTGGAATTTTGTAGGTATGCATGGGACTATGAATTGTTTTTAGAGATTGATCGTATATGTCAAACAATGTAGTGAGCTACTCACTGTAGATTCTAATTCAATATTTTTTCCTCTGTTTTTATTTATTATAGGAAATTGAAAGATCAGAGCATGATTTATTTCAAGTATCGAGAGCAGTTCCTGAACTGTTAGAGCCTCAGGTGAGGGCTATTATGTAGATTTGGATTAGGTTTAAGTCAGTATAGAATGAACGCAACACAAAACTCAGAAGCTCTGATCCAATTGATTTTGTTTTAACTATTAGAAAAAATCCTTAACTGCTTCTCATTCAGTCTACAGCTGAGTTTAGTATAGAAGGCAACACACTATTGCAAATATAGTGTGTGATTACACAACAAATTCTGGGGGAGAAACTCTGGACCCCGTGTCAATGGGTGTAGACTCAGGTCGTAGTGAATGTCCCCACCAAGATTGGAACCAAACCTACACCATTGCATGACCCCTCCCTCTTCCATCAGAGAGTGCTGATGCGGAGCCGACATGCTCAGAGTGAAGCCATGCGGGACGCGGCCATTTACTGTAGGATGTCTCAGGCCTCCGCCAGCTGCACAGGCCAAGACCTATACTCTGCAGAGACGTGATGACTTCGGCTCTGGCGTCCATGACAACCACCAAACGGAGGTCAATGGGATTTTCAGAAGCACTTTCGGTCTCTTGTCACCTCCAGATGCTGTTTCACACTACTCAGACTACTGCAAACCACTTCAGCAAAAAAAATAAAAATAAAACTGAAAGCGACTTCTGATATCTATTGACAATAATGGACACTCAAAACATCAACTTTATAAATACAAGTTTCCGTTTCTTTGCCTGCAACCGTTATGCATTTATATTCAGCTACACATAGAGTTTGGGGATGGACGTGTCAGAGCAATCTCAAAGCACTTTTCATGCTTCCTCTACCATCAGTGGAGTCGTTTCAGGGAGTTGAAATTCTCAAAGTGTACACAGTGCTTTGAAGGGCAAATACTGGCGATCAAGGTAATAAGGTATTTACTGAATCAACAATCAATTTAAAATCTACACCAGACGGCACCATTCATTTCCATTACATCTTATTACATTTATGAAAATATCCGTTGGAATAGAAATGCATGAATATTTGAACTTTACTTTACCATTGTAATGACTGAAGAAATTAAGGGTGGGATTAAATTAAGTATTTACTTTACTCTTTGTTGTTGTTGTTGTTATTACTCTTTTAGTTATATTTTGTAATGGTTCCTAAGTTACTTGTGATTAATTTGCACTATTTATTTCTATTCCCACTTTCTTGCTTGAAATAAATAAATAATATTAACTTTACTGTACCGCTCAAGGTGGTTTTTGCTCAACAATTACTGTATTAACAGCTCATTCCCAGAGAGAGAACGGGGAGGAAAAGGTAAGGTAAAGGTAAAATGATTAAAAAGTATTCGCTATCCAACTTGAAACAATGAAGCCATTACCCTCAATATCCAAGGAAAATGTCTTAATAGCACTAGGAATTAGGAATAGCCCGTATCTATTTGCCGATTCAAATATAATATTGGGCCATCCCGACCTCAGGAACCTCAATCTCTGACAATGGAGCTGGCAGGAGAACTCACACCACAAATATTCCAGTAGTCTTGGACACCACTATAAATGTTACCACACGTTTGCACATCCGCATTGTTGTGTTGTCAGTTGGAACATCATGAAGTGGTGCCGTTTCTGCTCGGTGTCTTTGCCAGGAAAGCTTCAGAAGACATAACAAAGTCCTTCCTTTGCTTCACTGTGTATTACCACACATTTCCTGAAACCACTACTCCCCAATTATAACTCAGCCTTGCCCCAACCCCCAGCAGACTTTCATTTGGTTCCTTGAATGCCTGAAATCATACATACTTTTTTAATGCTTGCGCTAATTGAGACTTTTGAGACCATGGACCACTGCTGAATAATATTCACAGAGACGTTGAGTTTAGTGGAAAATTGAGGATAAAATGCAGCTCTTGAGGTTTGTCTATATGAGGGTTTTAAGGCCTCTAATTCCCAAATTTATTAGAACACTTATCTCACACGGCCATGAAATCGTAAATAATTGACTGGTTCTCCAAGGAGGCTGAGGTTGTAGTGAGAGCCGTTTGGAGCTAATGGCAAAACGGAAAGTTTTTGAAAAGTGAAACAACGTGTAACCAATATTGAAAAAAGTTAATTATTTTGACTGAACGGAAGAGTCTTCTATACACCGGACTGCTTATTTCTACTGAGTTAAAGTTATTGTAATTTAACATAAAGGATGCAAAAGTTACACAGTGCAATTTTAAAGGAGACATAGATTATACATCTGTGGAGAGCTTAAACATAAACTACACAAACTATGTATATTATGTTTTTAACTGTTGTATCCTATGGACACACTCTGTATATTTTTTGTTTTATAGATACACACTAATATTGGTGATTGTTTATCATTGGGCAATAACAGTGAATAATAATTCTAATAATAAAATCTTGAATTCCAAACAATAAACTTTCTACTATATATTTTTTATGGTTTTGATAATTAAGTAATATGTCAACATGTCTAAAAAGCAAGTGATTGGTAATCAGAAAAATGGGATGATCAGATGAATAATGGTAAATAATACATTTTAACACATATAAAATGCCAAAGTATAAAGCTTATTACAGGTTATTGGGCCTAAAAAAGTTTTAGTCTATGAAATACATTGATTTGTGCCGCATTAAGGGAGCTATACTCATTTCTGCAGGTTTTTTTCAGTTTGAATGTTTAGCACCGCCTCCCAACTCGCTCACAGGCTTCTCATTTCCCCTACGCTCTCATCCCACGAAGCCATCTAGTTCTATTTGAGATCTGACACATATGCAAACATTAGCATTAGCACAACTTCTTGTAAGCTGTACAACAATCACTGATGAAATGGTACAAAAGCAACGCACTGCTAACAAAATATATAACAGAAATATTACCGCTAGTTTCACGTCCAAATGTAGCTGAATCAATGAGCACAAGTTTTCAATTAAATTTCGGATTTTAATACAACTTGTATGTAGTAATACGCATTTTTAAGAACTCATTTGAAAACAAATTTGGTATAGCTTCTTTAACCTCTGCCTCGCAGTCCCGCGAGGCCACGCCCCCAAACCTGTATGCAGACGGAGCAGAGCAGAAGTGTCCTTTTTAAGTCACTTTTAATGCTCTTTTATCTGCTCCACAACACCAGAGAGGGATAAAACAACTCTCAAATCACACGTAACAAGTCGCCAACGTTTTCATTGCAGCGCTGCGCACACATGTAGCAGCCGCATGAACAGGAGCGTTTAGAAAACTTCACGGGGACATAATAACTGCAGGATCGTGTCGATATGGTCTAGATCAAACCAAATGCCTCCGCTGTGGTTAGGGTTAGGGTTAACACATGGGTGCAGTGAAGAGTCTGTGTTTCTATCAGCCCAGTGCCAAGGATGCAGACTATTTGGAGTTTGTGATTGAAGACTATTACTCTTGCCATTCTCAAGACCAGATAAATACAGAACAAAAACACAACTTCAGTCCAAACTCTTTTGGGCATTAAAGGTATTTAGGAGGATTATCTACTTCCGGGTGGATCATCAAAACTATTGGTCCTCCTCAGTGTCAATCATTCTGGTGATACGTGCTCATCAAATAAGAAAAGAGAATTTTGTTCAAAAAGTGGAGAAGGCGGTTCTTTCCTGAAAGTTGGGAAAATCCTCTTATATACCTTTAAATTGAAAGTTCCAAAGAAACTTTATTGAAATGTTACTGACAGATCTAGGGTAAGAGTTAGTGTTTGGAAGGAAAATGTCATGGTGTCAGAAATGAATTAAAGGACAACTCACCCTCAAATCCACTTGTTTTGCTAAATGAGTGTCCAATAGTGTTGTCTACATATCCTGGTCATAATTTTGTCACTTTGGTGCAAATTAGTTGAAAGATCAACTTTCTGCCTAAAACCGTCAGTGAAGCGCCATCTGCTGGCGACCTGTATTACTACATTTTAATTTTGAATCTGGCGCCAACACTGGCACAGAAGTTGGACCTGACGTCTGCAAGTTGGACCTGACGTCAGCAGCCCCCCGCCCAGAGCAATGTAAACGGCCCAGTCTCGTTCACGCCCCCTTCAGTCCTCCAGGCTACGCCCATTTAGAGGAAGATTTGAACAGGAAATGTAAGCTCTGAGGAGCGGGGGTGAGAACCACTTTTAGGGGAAGAACATGGATGGATGGATGTCATTGTGTGGATTTTGTGTTATTTTGTACTTTTTTTGACATCTGTTCTTTGTGGTTTGGTTTTAGTTTGACTTCCTGTCCTGTTCCCCTGTCTTGATTGTCTGCCCCGCCCTGATGTATTTCACCTGTGTCTCTGTGTCTATATGTACCCCGTGCTGGTCCATCGTCAATGTCCATCGTCTTGTTTTACCTGTGTTTGTGGTTCTGTTTGGATTTTGAATTGGTTTTTATCTTGGTTTATTGTTTTTTCTCGAGATATGTCAAATTCTGCACTTTGAGCCCTAATTTGACCCCCTGAACATGCATGAAAAGTTGTAAAATTTGATTGATATTTTGGTGTTTATTTTTATGGGACTAAAAAAATGCCAGAACAGCGCCACCTACAACAGCCAATGGGAGTTTCAGAGGTCAAGTTTGTCGTAGAGCCATGAAATCCGGTACACATGTTCCTCAAGTCAAGATAAGATTTTTTTTTTTTTATCATGGCCCCTCCCTCTGACAAACAGGAAGCCCACTTTCACTGCAAAATGGAAAAATGATCCGGAATCATTTTCATACATGTCGGTTGGAAATCTCTCCTCCTCGGCCGTTTCACCGATTTGCCTCAAAATCGCTCCACATCATCTAGCAATAGAAGAATGACTAACATTCTTGCGCGCGGTGCGGGAGTAGCGTGGTGCGGGGGGTCGCACGGTGCAGCGAGGGCCGTTCAACGCCGCTTGTGGCTTTAATTTATCTTTTTTTGTTTTTTGTTTTTTGCATTCTTGTCTTTTGGGTCCATGCTTCTTCATCTCACTACATGTGATGGAGCGGACCAGCCATCAAAAGGACTAAGCAGAATGCTATTTTTTTTTTCAACCCTCTCCTTCCTTTCACCTGTTGACACCACCAGACATGATGTCTGTCTGGGGTGGTTCTGTTCCTGCCACTGTGCCACCACTGTGCACTCATGTCTCTGTCCGGGGTGAGCCAGTGTCCATGTGAGGCTTCAGCTTCTGCCCCTAACCTGTTCCGGGCCTTTGAACTGCGTCTGCGTTTTCACTGCCATGAAGGCACACAAACACACTTTTGCATCAGTGTTTTGTTCATTGATTTGTATATCTTAAGCAGTACACTCACCCCCTCCGCTGCCCCCGCTGTGGAGTGGACCAATCTCCAAGACTCTGCACAAACATGTCCTCACCAACATGTCTGCAGCCCACATGTACCAGCCTGAAAAAGAGCTCGGCTCTCCCACCCAGTTCGTGTTTATGTTTGCAGCATGACTGACTGGTGTTTCATTTCACCCTGTTCTGAATGGTTTGCTTTGGCCCCAGTACCATTACTGCTCATTAAGTCTCGCTTGGGCTAATAGGGGCCCGCTTACTCAGGTGGTCCCCCAGGTGGCTGTCACAGGGGCACTGAACGACTTAAAAGAGGGACAAAGCGAGCAGTTTGTATTATTGAAATGGTACTTTTACAGGTCTCAGAAAAGTATCAATAGGAAAGCTGCAGCTGATTCAAAATATGGCAGAAAGAGTCCTCAGGAATTCAAATGTTATTATATCACACCACTTTTTGTCTACACCGGCTTATCTCTGTCTGTTGCAGATTATACTTTAAGGGTGTATTCAGACCTGAAAAGTCCTTTGCTCCGCTTGCTTGATCTGAATCAAAAGCGGACCAAACTTTTTTTCTCTTGCTTCGGTTCGTATTCAGATTGTACTTTTTGAAAGTGAACTTTTTTATACAAACATATTGACACGTGTGACGATCGGTGCTCCTATTGGACAGCGAGAGCTCACGGAGGATAGACGCGGAACCGGAGGAAAACATTGAGGGCTCGTATGTGCAGCATGTCTGCTCTGCCTATGTTTGCTCTTTTTAGAGCAAAACCACCTTCAACATCAACAGCAGCAGCTCATATGACACAGGCCAAACACGTTGTTTTAAATATTGGAACAAAGTCGGAGAATGGGTGGATCTATAATAATAACTCTGTTCCACAACATACTGACAGCAGCTTTGTGGATAAACCATGGATCTATAATAACAACGGGATAAACACACGACGGAGGATCAGGTATGAGCCAAAGAACACAATTCACTACAAGATGAGAATATTGCTTTTTGAGACGTGAGTCAAACAGTGTCAGGCTTTTAATAATGCAAATGGTTTGAAGATGCTGCCATTAACATCACTGTAAACTGTGAACAGTTGTAACTCCATAAGCCTGTTGCAGCGTCTCCTCACTGCTCCAGGTCTGCCCACGGCTCATTGTTGTTGTGTAGCGTTAGCACTAGGGCTGGGCGATTAATCGATTTTAATCATTAATTCGAGTTTTACGTTTAGGGCGATTTCTTTTTTTAAAAATTCGATTTTTATTTTCTCCAGCGCAGAACTACAGCGCTAACGCGCTAACCGCGGGTCTATGGTGTTGAGCAGTCATTTTGAAGCTAACCTAATGCTAACAGTCTCCCTCTGGCCTGATGCTCGCTCTCACAGTTGGTGCTGTTGCAATAACACTTCAAACGTTCAAGAATCAGACTTTATTTAATCGCCAAAACACACACACACACGCACGCAGGCTCCGGTCGCTATGTTCGTACGCCATGTTCGTACGCCACATCTTTCACGCTCGTTATTCCAAAGCGCACTCCCGTGTCCGTGGCGCGCACACACTCGTGTCCCACTGAGCCGCTGCACTTTGGGGAAAGACACGTCTCACACATTGCTCTCATTGCTCTGATACAAACAACGTGTTCCCCGCTGTCTGTTAGCTACAGTAGCTGCTAGCTACAGTAGCTGTTAGCTACAGTAGCTGCTACAGTAGCTGTTAGCTACAGTAGCTGCTACAGTAGCTGTTAGCTACAGTAGCTGCTACAGTAGCTGTTAGCTACAGTAGCTGCTACAGTAGCTGTTAGCTACAGTAGCTGTTAGCTACAGTAGCTGCTACAGTAGCTGTTAGCTACAGTAGCTGCTACAGTAGCTGTTAGCTACAGTAGCTGTTAGCTACAGTAGCTGCTACAGTAGCTGTTAGCTACAGTAGCTGCTACAGTAGCTGTTAGCTACAGTAGCTGCTACAGTAGCTGTTAGCTACAGTAGCTGCTACAGTAGCTGTTAGCTACAGTAGCTGCTACAGTAGCTGTTAGCTACAGTAGCTGTTAGCTACAGTAGCTGTTAGCTACAGTAGCTGCTACAGTAGCTGTTAGCTACAGTAGCTGCTACAGTAGCTGTTAGCTACAGCATCAGAATGTGAACAGGAAGCTCGCACAATGCGGGAGTCACTGAAGTTAGTATTAGCGCCACCAGCTGGACCGAGCGTTGTACTACAGCACAGTTACTCAGGCACAGTTGAAAGAACAAGCATGAAAACCCGAGGAGGCTTTTGGAAAAGACTGTCTGTTACAACATTTCTATTTTGAGTAATCAGTTTTAAAAATGTGATATTTCATGTAAATAATGCATGTGTTTAATAGGATTGATATATTTGCGATGGGCCTTGTTTGTGTGATTTAAGTTATTTTGAAGGTGCATAGTGTCATTGTAAGTGAAGTTATTATAAAACTGTTAAGCTACATTTTCACTGTTTACAATGGCAGAGCCATCTCGTTTACAAGCATGTTTTAAGGCTTAATTCCTGTTACACTTATGCTCCATGGGGATTTAGATTAAACTGCATAAAGGAAAATCTATTTCTTTGTCAGTTGTAGTTTGTTTTTAAATAGAAAAAAATAAATCGATTAAAATCGAAAATCGGATTTGGTGTGAAAAAATCGGAGATTTTTTTTTTTTGCCATATTGCCCAGCCCTAGTTAGCACCATAGTTAGCACCATAGTTAGCAGCTGTGACGCGTGGCTAATTCCTCGCAGCTTCTGTCTACGGCTTGTTAAGCCCAAATAATAGGCACGTATCTTAGAGTTGTGTCGGATCGACAACGGATGTATTCAGAC